CCCCTCCCAACATAGGAAAATTAGACAATCATTATCATAGTAGGTGGTTGGCGGGTGCTTTGGTGTGGGTTTCTTCTATCCTATCAATCATATCGCCTTTATCTCTCCTCCTTTTTTGTGTGTTTGTTACTCTCTTGCAACACCTCTAATCTTCGGAATAATAATAATACATGTATATGACCTATCTGTGTTACAAGTGCTGTAAAACTGTAAACTGAAACAAACAAAATAAAAACAAATCATTATCATGCCACCAAACGTCTTTACATGAAAATACAATCATTAGCCCAACTAGAAACACATAAGCTGTATCATGATATTTATCTCTCTTATGTCTGCCCTACAGATCAGAGACACTGCAGTGTGTCTCTGTCTGGAGTTTGCATAATTAGCGCCATATGTGAATGCGTGAGTAACGATCGTGTGCTACTCACAGGCTGGTTTATCTGTAGGCTACCGCAGCAGCTGCGACAGTCCTTCTATCGTCATTGTAGAGATAAATATTTTAGACCAGTTTTCTTTCTTCATCGAAGCTCTCTGTTGATTTATTTGTGCACCTTCGTGGCAAGTAAGAATAGACTATAAGACGTGGCAGGTTCATATACTTTTTCGAAAACATGTATTCAAATTTAATTGTGTATTCTGTTATAATGTAATGGAGAGTTCTGGATGCTTTATATTTTTGTTTATTACTGTGTGACCAGAAATAATTTAAGAATGTATACTGAGTTGCAATCAAATGTAATAAAGTTATAGATCTGCTACCGCTATAAGAACCATATATATCGTTATTGTGGATATTTTATGTCAGTTTTCCTATTTCATCAAAGGTATCTGTTTCTTTTTCTGTGCGCTTTTGTATGAGGCACAGCAGCTTCAGTACCTGTTGGAAAGATTTTGAACTGGCGTGTGTAGTGTAGCTGCTGGGTGTTTTGCCGTGGCACACGGTACAGGAGACCCGAGTTCGATTCCCGTGTGGAGAGATTTTTTATCGAGTATCTCGGTATGTTTGCTGCTTTGTTGTATCCCTCCCAGCCTTGGTTGGACCTACAAAAGCAGGGACGAAATCCGCCTCCTAAATGATCTAATTTGTGTCAATGGTGGCGTGAAAACACCATAAAAATACAGATCTGTGTTCAATCTTTTCTCATACAACGGTATTATAATATTATTATGTTTGGGTGTTGAGGTTCAATGTTCATAGTTTTATTACTGTGTGAACAGAAATAATTGAAAAATTGATTATGAAGGGTTTTTATATTTTGAAAAAAAAAATAAACAAAAATTGAAAAATTGAAAGAAACAAATTTTAAAGATAACGACAAGCTGCAGACAACCAAATCTAGGAAATTTCTGACTCAGTGAAATTTAAAATGAGGACAACTTAACAACTCGCCTAAAGCGAACATGACAAAAGAAAGCATAAAAGGAACAGCTGTTAAAAGTACAGTCGTTTTTCAAAATCAAAGCTGTTGACATTTACCCCCCTTTTTTTTTCTTCCCAACAGGGAAACTTACAGGGAAATAGAAACACACAGGACTCGGCGGTGAGGAGCAAGCAAGAAGGACTGATGGTCACACCTTTGAGCCAAGCAGAATGTTGCGGTTACCTGTAGAAACGAGTTCGTCTTTCTCATAACAAGGATTATCCTCCGAGGAGTAGGAGGAGGAGGCGAGCCTGTCAACTACAGAGTGTTTGTGAGCTGAGTGATGTGTGCATGGAGGCTGCAACAGTAACAGAGGAATAGAGTCAGAAAGAAGGAACACACTAGATTGTGGACGAAAGTACACACACACACACACACACACCACACGGCGGGACAGGTGTGTTTGCTTTATGTGGAGACTGAGTTTGGATCTATGCTTGTTCTAAAAGGGAAACGAACGTGGAGCTCGATTTAGAGGATAATGGGAAAGGACAGTGATCGCAGAGGTAAGAAATATTATTGTCGTTGATAAGCCTACTTGTACTTGTTTTTATTTGTGGAAACATTCCTGTTGTTAACCGTTACTAGCGCTAAAAAGGCGGGTAGGCCTACATGTATTATTATTGATCACTCTGTTTCTTCTAGATTCTCTCACTTTTTTCACGTAAAATGTTTGCTTTCAATTTCGTCCTGTTCTGTGATACTTGTGCTCTAAAGGAGAAAACAATGTATTTATATTATCAGTCTCGCCGTCTTGTTAACTCTTTTTGCTACGAAAAAATTAACCAGCACTTGATCAAAAGCTGTTCAGAAAGGAAGTGATAAATGGGTGCTTGGTGTCTTGAGAGTTTACTATACACACATAATAATAATAATGATTTTAATAATCTTTTAAAAATATAATAATAATAATATAATAATAATAATAATGATAATAATAATAATAATAATAATAATAATAATGTTTTTAATGGTGACGATAACAATAACAATAAGAATGATAATCATGCTAATCACAACTTTCAAAATAATCACATTCATAATAATGATACTGGGAATTTATACAGCGCCTATCCTTGAATACGCTGATATTATAAGCGCTGCACTGCCGTCAGCTGCTGACAAAACGCCTTTTTTTCATTTTGGCGCGAAGATATTTTATTTGCTAATTAATCGATAGTCTGACCTGTTACACAACTTGTGTGAAAAAATCAAAGTGAAACTGTGACTAGTTTTTTAAAATAAATTAACATTCAAATTTCAGAAGAACGCCTTTTTCAAATGGTTACGCTGACAAAACGCCTTTTTTTAAAGAGTTCGCTGACAAAACGCCTTTTTTTTTCTCCGTGGCTTTGGAAAAAAGGCGCTCTGTCAGCAAACTCTGTTCAAGGCTAAAGCCGACAAAACACCTTTTTATTGTCTTGTTCCAACACTGTTACAGTGATTCTCGTCTTGAGTATGATCTCCCCATGCCCACCCCCCTTCCCCCAAACACACATACACTCACAAACTCGCACACACACACACACACACACACACACATACACACACACACACACACATACACACATACACACACACATTACAAACACAAAAATAAACAGACACACTCTCAGACACACACAGACACAAATACAGGCACGCTCACACAGATACAAATTTCCATGGACACACACAGACACACTCACACACACAGCCACACACTCTCTCTCTCTCTCTCTCTCACACACACACACACACACACACACACACACACACACACACACACACACACTCACACACACACAAAGACACACAAACTCACACGCACACACACATGCA